CTTATGTTTGGCCTTGCCAACTATAGTATTTAGCCTTTTTCTTTTGTTCTTTAAGTTTTAAATAAACAAAGTTAAGCGCTAAAAAAAAAGAATGGAGAAAGCAGTACTTTTTGTAATTAATTTGACGAACCACTCTGCTAATGGCGTTTTAATGGCTCCGATTTCTATGGTGATACTGAAACCTTAAATATCTTTGCTGAATAGTTCCTGCGACGTTATAACTAACTCGGTTTCAATTCCGAAGTTGGTCATCTAGAAAACAGGTCTCTAAACATAGTTCGCCGGCGCCTGATGGTATTCCATGATGTATACTCAAATCATGCTCTGGCGAGCTATGTGGTGTTATTTGAAAAATTTTTAATCAGACCCTTAAACTCAGGTGTGTTGCCTTTATATTGGAAGAATAGTTTCTTTATTCCGCTTCACAAATGTAGTAACAGGCATCACCTTGTGAAGGCATATATAGAGGCATTCCGAAGTTAAGTGTCTTATCTGAATTGTTTAGCGAATTGTTACTCGGCATTCAGCTTTTGCTATCAAATCTTTTATTTCCCTATTCCATCACGGCTTTCTGTTACGAATCTTTTAGAGTTTACTTGTCATATCATTTCAAGCCTTTTTCTAGTGGTTCTCACACGGATCTGATATATACTGATTTTAGTAAAGCGTTTGACTTAGTTAACCATAACTTATTGATCTTCAAAGTACCGGGGTCCGTCTTCCTTTTGCACTTGTTAAAGCAGATGGTCACTCAGGGTTTTGTTTGACACCGCCAACTCAAATGAATTTCCTGTGAAGGCAGCCAGTTAGGCCCCCTTTTATTTATTCTATACATCAAGGATTTCTATTCGGTGATTAAATACATATCTTAATCTACGCTGACGAAGTTAAACTGTTTTCCATCTCCTCAGAATCGCAATCGTGTCAGTTTCAAATTGTACTTAAATAATTTGGTTACATAGCGGTCGTTAAATTTTATGAAATTGTATCTACAAAATTGCAAGAAGCTTTCTTTCTCAAGGAGGAAGTTATTCAATACTGGGTATTTCATCGATTCACACAAGTTGGGAAACGTGGACGCATTCATCGATTTAGGCGTTCTATTCTGTTGCTCATTGAGCCCTTTTTAAGTAAAGCTAGATCCCCGCCAGATTTCATTAAGAGGTGGTCCGAAGAGCTTTAAGAGCCTTCCATTACAAAACGGCTATACGTTAAACTATGCCTCTGTTGCGTGGTCTCGTTCGTACCAGTGTTATGTAGACGCAATTAAATCCGTTTAAAAAGGATTCTCGCTGTTTTCCCTTAGGAGTTTGGGTTGGGACAAGCTTGTCTCTCTGCTTCTTAATGAAAATAGTTCGCTTTTGTTATCGTTACCATCACTTGGTAAACGTAGATTTATTTTTGGTGCTTCTTTTTAATTTAAGTTAATTAATGGTAATACCAAACGGCCCTTGGTGAGATAAACTTTAGGCTAAGCACTTTATCTTCATTGAACTTAATCAGTGTAAATATAATTGTGAACTGTTTAATCCGTTCAGAGTTGTCTGCAGAGACCTAAACGATGTCTGTCACTTAATCTCAATATCGGATTCTTTAAAGCCTATTAAAACAACTTTGCTTACTACGCGCTATGTCGTACTTAAACTAACTTTTAATCTTAACATCTCACTATGATTCGAATATTAACTGGTGTTGTTTATTGTTATCCGTTGCCAAGTTTTTGTATGTTTGCAATGGTTTTTAGGGGCTCATTTACAACTTGGGTTGGTATCGCTTCTGGATCCGCCTCGGTGCTAGTTGTGTAACACGCCTTCTTTCTTATTTATTTATTTTTTTTTTTCTCATTTATTTATACACGAATTATTATTTTTTTCACTTTTTTCTTTTACTTCTCCTTATATGCTTTTTGTTAGTTTTTAATATTAATTAGTATAAGACTTACTTCTAAGAGTCAACTGAATTCGATTATTAATCTATTTTAACTGAGTTTCACATGTAAGTAAATAAATAAATAAAAGTCGTCGAAAGCTTTCGGTGATTATATTCCATCTATTAAGTCAATTGAGTGCCGCGTTCCAAGGCTTTTAGATGTAGTCATTGAATGAAAAGTTCAAACATAAAACAAGTAAAACTACTGTAGTGGGCGATGGCATATCGTACACCAATTCGTTTAATACAATCATTCTTGTAACGACTTTTCAAAATAAATTGTTATATGGGAAGTGGTCGCAAAAGTGTTCCGATCCGAGCCATTTTCAAAGACATTCGTCCTTGGAATAAGACATGTTAGGAGATCAAATTTCATCGAAATGTCTCAAAAATTGAAAATTTATATTTAAAAAAAAAACAATTTTCATAATTGATGCACACTCCTCTCCCTAGTCAAATATATATAAAATGTATATTAATAAGATACAGATTTAACTTTTTTTCATTACAGCACTTCATGACGGTATGCTTTTATTAAGCAATTTTTTTTTTTTGTGATGAATAAATAATTAACAGAAATGATTTGTAAATAAAGGTTGGCAACAATTATTGTTTTCAAAAATAATCTTTTTTTTCTTTTTAGTACCTATGATGTAATTTCTTTGCTTGTAGACAAGATTTTAAATGGTTTCACCGATAAATAACATCCGCTACTCTGACTATGACTTGATAAACAATTTTCTCCCAAGTGTAATAAGAACATTTTTAATCGTTAATGTTTTCCATACATTTGCATTAATTAAAGTTAAATAACAAAATTACGTAAGTATAAAAAAAAAAAATAAATAAATAATTAATAAAGAACATACACAATAAACAGAAAGAATTTAAGAAGGAAAAAATGTAACATTATTTGTATTGGAAACATTCATTAAATAGAAGAAAAATCAACTCTACATCAGTGCAAACTTAGATAATTGTAATTAATGTCGAATCGGTCGAGGCATGGCTTTCTTTGAAGCAATTAAAAACCTATTAAGAGAATTATAAATTTTTAAATGTTTGTCTGTTTTTTGTTCTTTCATTTTCTAAAGTAACAATCATCTTAAAATTTCGAAGGCGCGAAAAGTATAAAAAATAGCTTCTCCATAACTTAGTAAGCAGCGGTAATAACTCATCGACGTATTGGCATATATCATAGGCATCAATATTTTTATGTTTATGATTGATTTTATTCTTAACAAAGGTTAAATTCATAAATTTTACGCAGAATAACATTGGAAAATCAACGACAATGAAATAACATAGCACTGTAAAATTGCTTCCATTTTTTTTTAATTAACTGGAAACTTCTTGGAATGAAAACTGAAAACAAAAAAAAAAAAAATATAATTTATGCAAATGTTAGTTCCTCGACAAGCTAGATACTATTATTTAATGGAAGACACTTTTGGCGCAATTAAATATTTACTTAATGTTTTAAAACAGATAAAGGGTAAAGAGAATCGAAACTTAGGAATAGATGTTGCAATATTTTGACATTTTTATAAACCGTTCCTTCCTATTAAAAATTTGTAATATTTTTCTTATAACAATTTTTACAAAATACTGCATTATAAGAGGAGTGTCAGACAAATATATGCACAGGCCGACAGAGATAGGCAAACTTAAGTCGATTCAGAAAATAATTTGATCGACTGATATAATAAAAGATGGGTCTATCGTCTAGCGTCCTTCTAGGAGTTACATATACATATACGTATAAGCTTCATGTACACAGGCACGACGAGTGTAGGTTTTGACTCTATCGTTTATATTTCCGAGAGATCGTACATACACTGAAGTAAGGCCTGAGGATGGTATTTTCAAGGTGAGTGGCCACAATGTTACGTTCGCTGTTTACATAATGTATTATTATTATTATTATTATTATTATTATTATAAATTTAGCCAGAGAATAAATTCTAAGACTAAAGTCTTAAAGCACTAGCATCTAAGGCTTTCGGCTTTATTAAAAACTCTACTGCACTTGAGATTTGAACCCACGACCATTGATTTGCTAGTCGAGACTCTTGCCTACTCGGCCACTCAGGCGGATATACATAATGTAATTATAATGAGTTCGCGGTTTTTACGACTCTAATGCATCTATAACTGGTCGATGAAAGTAGTTAATAAGCATTTTGCTTATGTTAAATTCGTTCAATCGCTTACTAAGCTTAATTAATCATAGAATTGTAGAAAATACCAAGTAAGTACCAAAAGTCACAAAGTACAAATTTGAACGTTTTACATAAAATATGCAATATAGTTTTTTTACACCCACCACTGTAAGATGAGGGTAGGCTCATTTTGTTTTTTTCAAAAATACATGTAACACCCAAAAGGAAGCTTCGGTGACCCTATAAAGTATACATATTCTTGGCTAGCGTGAAATTCCGAGTTGATTTAGCCATGTCTGTCCGTCAGTGTGTCTGCACGGTCTTTGCTGTTGGCACTATCCTGGTCGCAAAAATGAAGAAATCAACTTTAAATTTGATAGAAACATTGAAAGTTTCTGCACGCAAGTCGGTATTGAAAATTGGCCAAATCGGTCGGGGCAGAAGCGCGCAGAGGAGCGTAAACTGAACGCGATTCTGTTTTTTTAACAAAAATTTTTAATATTTGCTCGTTACTCAGAAATAATAAAAAATAGAGGGCTGAAATCTTCCACATTTACTTTACGAAGCATTCTACTCCTTGCGTGCAAAAATGAAATGCATAACCCATACCGACACAAAGTAACATGTGATTAAATTTGTTTTTTTTTACTTTTTTGAGCTTTTATGCTTATTTGTCATAAGGCAAAGAAGACAAGGTTGTGCACTCCTGGCTAAAAATGGGTTCATTTTAAAATGAATATGGTAGATATCGCGATTAATTTTTTCTTAATGATACCGGCAATATGGGTACCAAATAAAAAGAACTTGGAGAGTAGAATTCGGTAAAGATTGTGCGGTGGGTATGTGAAATTCGGCCCTCGTCGAATATGACTTTCTTGCTTCTTTTTTTTTTTTTTTTGGTCAAATATGAAAAATGTATTCAATTGAGATGTAAATTACTGTCGCTTACTCTTCGTACTTAAAAATCGATTAATTTATTTTTCTCTCTTGTCCTCATATCCATTCTATGTAAATAATTAACTCTTGGTTCAACGGCTGCCTTGGCTAAATGCCTAAGAGGCATTCTAATCACAAAAATCTTGAGAGATTTTCAATATTTTTCTTCTTTTCTTTTGTTTTCATTAACACGAGATTACTGATTACTTTAGTCAACCATAATTGCGCGAGTCAATTAGCAGAGCTACCTTAAAGCGTTCATAGAAGAGATCAAATATTTAAAAAATATTAGTGGATTGCACAGTTATTTTATTATTATGTATTTGTTGCGCTCCGTGAACATTGCAAGTTACTCTGAAACTCTCTAACATCTCTTAGGTTTCACAAAAATATAAAACAACTCGCAGCTATGATATGACAATAAAAAAATGTTATTATTATTAGTGCAATTTCTGTTTGTTGATCCGGTTTACCTTCAACACGATTAATATGTAGCATAAGTATAGTAAGTGGATAGTATTGAAATTACTTTTAAGAAGAAAAAACGGAAAGAGTTAATGCACACGTATATTACTATTATTAGGGGGATATACGATAGGTGGCTGCTTTATATGTTCATTGTTAATCTTTCTATATATTTGATTGTTATTGGTTTTATTGTATTAATCTGTTCATTAATTACTATAGCAAATGACTACAGTTTCTAAGATATCATGCATAGACAATACACTACGATAAATATTTCGTTTTCGTGCTTGCATGCATACTCATAGCGAGTGCAGAGAATCTGATAATTTTTGTGTATGACCATTCAGATTTTGGGAGTACGGCCACTTTGTTAAGTCATTTGTAACGCTAAGAATTGCTTATAAAATATGTAAAAAACCTATCGTTAATCCTTCAGAAAAATATTACTTAGGATCTAACACTACTGTAAATTTTGGAATTAAAAAAAAACATTTGTTTCGCGTGCTTAAGAGATGCTTCAAGCCTTCCAGAATAAATAAATAACTAAATTCATAACCAAGTAAGTTTTTACGTAAGCTCTCCACAAAGAGCGTTGGAATCAAATGAATTCCTGCTGGGAAGTTGCTGTCTAATATCTTTTCTTTTTGAAAATCGAATACATTAAAAGATATCTTTGGAAAGTATTAGATTAATAATAAATTGAAAAGCAAAGATTGTTCCATCAAGACGACCGTTGAAGAATATGACGCTAAAGCGATTCGAAAGCTTTCGGAGCTTTTGCGGAAAACTTATGAATTTGACTATAGAACCATGGAATTTCTTGCCATTTTTCCTAACATTTTCCAGAACCGTTTAACTTTAGAAGTTTATTTTTAATGCGAACCCTTATATCAAACGACTCTTATAGATCAATTTTCATTATAATGTATGAAAAATTAAAGCTTTTTGCTTATTTTAATGGGAATTTTAATATAATGTCGGGTCCGAAAAATGCATATATATACTACAAATTCCACAGGTTAATTTCTATGTCGAATTATTATTCATATGGACCAAATCTGAGCATCAAATAATGAAAAGTAGATAATTTTACCATACGAAACATTAGTTTTTCTAAGAATGGAGGACTATAAGTGAGTGAGTTAGAAAAATTGCCTGTCCGATCCCAATTTTTTTATCATATCAATTTGGAATATCGGATCTTTCGGGAAATTTTGGAAGTTGTTATTTTTTCCCACCATCACCATCTTTTCAAAATAAGACGTTATACGGGTAGTGACCGCAAAGATGTTCTGATTAAAAGCATTTTCCATCTTATTATTTGCCCTCGGGGCAAATTTCGCTGATTTTTAGATTGAATACAAAAATACATGTATCGACATCAGATGAACAGAAAAACTTGGATCGATTCAGGAAATAATTCTGGATCAATCGGCGTAACAAAAAATGGGTTTATCTTAGGTCCTTCTGTTAGATCCATCCACATACACCTAATATATCCTACATCACAAATAGTATAACGTAAAAATTGATATTTGGCCTTGAAAAGCACTCAACATTTACAATAATATTTGATAGCTTCGAAGACTTAAATAAGTGTCTCGAAAAAATGTCAATGCCGTTCGAGTCCAAATGTATCATTAGTTACTAAGCATATATTTAAGTATTGAAAATAATTATATTTTTAAAATAGTAAATTTTTTTTCATATTTCAAATTTTGGATTTTTTAAAAAACCTACGATGTTGCTACCATTTAGGAAACGAATTACATATTTTGCAATATCCAGTGCTTTTTGGATGGAATTTGTTAATCTTACTACATAATTTACTTGAAATACAAGCTTAAGCTTAATTAAATAGGAGATGGGAGAGCAGCGATGCTCTCTACCGGATAAAGTTCATCATTAAATCATAGGTCATGCGTTCAGGCAAAGATCGATCTTATAATTGGATTCTAAGTAAGACACTATTCTAGGTCCGCTCTTATATATATAGTCACGCAAATGGTGCGCAAGTGTTTATTATTTTCCATCAATACGTTTCATATATAAAATTAAGAATTGTTATTGCATGTGAAATGCATTATGCTACACTTGTTTTGGATTTAAAAATTCTTAATTAAGTAATCATTAAATTTCACTTAACAAATCTTATGCATATATCTGCATGATTATTTTTTGTGTACGTTTAATTATTTCTAACAATTTAATATGCACTTTATCGCTGCTCGTAAAATGCTTGACTCAGAATTTGGAAGCAATTATTAGTGAATGTGTCTTTTAGTTAATACATTATGAACAATAATGCATGGAACACGTTTGATTTTATTGTAGTCGTGGTTTAAAGTAAGTCTAATTGGGCGTGTTTGAAACAATGCAATTAATAAACCGGAAACCTAGATAGAGAAAGGAAAAGAAAAATAAAAAGAGCTTTGGCATACCGTGCAGTTCAAAGTTCTACGTCTCACTTTTAATATTCGTTGAGATACATTACATGTGATACCGACCGATTTCGAACAAAATCATTTCAAATGTTTACAAAAAAACATATTAATTATTGGACAAATATTATTATGCTTAGCTGATAGTTGATAAGTGATAGAATTGATCTCTTCATGTAAAATACTAGTCTCTTCACCTTAATCCATTTGCGTTGAGCGTTTTTAAGTAATTTTTTCATTATTTCAGATTGTATTTCCAATATATATATATATATGTATATATATATATTTATAATTTGACGAATTTAAATTACAAGAAACAGCAATAACACTTCGAGTCTGAGTCACATCGTGCTCGTGTTCGTTAATAAGACACATGTACGAATTAGGGTTACGTACGTGGAAATGATGTAACACAACTTTTTTCATCAATGTGTTTCAATCAGATGTTTGAACCAAAATTTCATTGACGGTAACAGATTACACCGTTTAGGCTACTAACGGGTGATATAAAAGGTCTCCGCAGTTTTTTGGCTTCTTTTTGTAGACATCTCCTGTTCAAATGATTCCAAAATGTGATATGGTTGATGCTCTGTGCCTCCCCTATTCCTGACAGCTTACGTGCCGGTAAAAATTTCATGGACTTTTTCGACCAGAGCGAGGTACATCTTTGACATCGAAATTTCCGGAACGGAATCCAGCAAACCACTGCTGGGTTCTTCTTTCACTCCCATCATTCTTACCGTACACTTGATAAATTTTTCGCCACGTTTTTGTATGTTTTACCTTTTTATAGTAAAAAAGACATCATATAGTGTATTTCTTCAGATATTTCATTCATTTTCAAATCGATGTAACTTCTTAAAGAACTTCTTAAGAACTACCTTCTTAAGAATTAAAAAAAGTGTCGTGACAAAAAATATAAGCTGAAATGTTTCTTTGAGACAATGAATTGAGTGTTGCCCGATATATAGGCACCAACATCATCTAATGGCAAGAAGGCACGGAACTCTTTTAGATCCCATACCCACTACTATTATAAAAATGTACAATAATTTCGTCATAAAAATACTGAAATTGTTACAAAAAAAAAAAAGAATGAAATCTATTCGGATTCACGTTTATTCAGATTTATTTCATTTATTTGAAAGTAAAAAAAAGCTAAAATTTCACAAATCCGTTAAACCATTTAACAAAAAAACAAAAAACAGCTTAGAAATAAAAAATTAATTTTTTGAATTTTTTTCCTGAAAATTATTAATACTAATCGGCTTCAATTACTCTTTCGAAATATCTTTTAGGGAATCAGTTAACTTATTTCTGTGCAAGAAAAATCAAATTCCTTTTCTCTTTTAACCTAATCAGCTGCAACGTATTCATGCGTGAAATGTCAACCTTCGAAATGTCCAAAATGAATTGCTAAGATATGTTAGCGCTTCAAAAGCTTCAAAGCTTAAATGAATAGTAATTTTGTCCCAGTTTTCTTAATAATTTTCTTATTGGAAAGTGACTAGAGAGAGACAAGTTTTTTAAATTTTACAAGTCCTTAAATATTCGGAGAAGCATATAAAAAGATGGTTTTGAAAATATTTCTATTCGTTATCCAAATTCAGTTGTATAATAGCGGTATGCATTTGCTTGAAACGCGTCTTTCTCGAAGCCCGTTATTCAAAACTCTAAAGGTAACTCCAACAATTTTCATTTTGATTCTTTCTTTCTTTTTTCGTAATGCCTTTTAAATAATATTCTCTGGTTAACCACGGGGTAATTTTCGATTGGATTTTTTTTTTTTCTTTTGCCGGAAATTGAAACTTTTTCGGCAATTAAATAAAAATTCGAGCATTGTTAAATCGTAATCAGTGATTCACTATTATGCTCAGGCTACATAATAAACCCCGTTGACGCAATTGGATTGAGTTTTCATGGAAAAGGAATCTTGAATGTCGTTTAGATTCGTTTACTTTTCGAGTTAAAAATTAAACACCAAATATGGACAAAATTGCGGAAATGTTAACTTCCCGAAGGCTGGATGTGAAAATTTCTGACATATCGTCGCTTATAATGCTTTGTTGTTTTCGTTTTCAAGTAAATTGACTTAAAAGCAAACATTTAATAAGGAAGTCGTGGCAATAAGAGAAAGTCCTTAGTGCCATACCCCAAACAAAAAATTTCTTATTTTGTTTGCTGGCCTTTCATTTAACTCTAAACTTATTATAATAGCAAGAAAAGTATTCAATGCATTGCAATGACATGATTAAATCTATAAAAAATTTTATTTACATTTATTTTCAAATTGTTGTTGCTAATATTATGTGGCCCTAAACGATCGGTTGATATATTAAGTTTGCTATATAGTTTGTAAGGTTTAAAAAGAAAAGTACTTTATACCTAAGTTTTTTAATTGAATTTATTTGAATTAGTCAGGATTGTCATTACAAATAAGAATGTAGAGGAACCAGCTATACAAGTAAACAAAATGAGAAATAAGTGAATATGTGTACTTATCCATAGTCTATCCCTTTTATAATTATAATGTAACACAAAAAGAGATAAATTTTTAATACCAAGCATGATCTCTTAGTCATCGTTAGTGACTTTCAGTGCAACTGCTTCGTAAGGTATAGACAGTTCCCTATCGTATCATAATAATAGTTTACATTTGTGATTCGAAAAAATTCCAATTCAAGTCAGAACTCTTTACCCCTTAGTAGGAATCAATTCTCCTTTTCACTCATATATGGAAACATACATTCCATTCATGTAAGGTTCTGTATATATTTAATCCCGAATATCTATGTTTCTACATGTTTTTCCATTTTTTCCCTCCAAATTTTCATAAACAAATTATGCCTTATTTTGGCTTTTTAACTAAATTTAGATTATTAGGTTACTGCTCAATCGCCAATGATGATTATATATATGTACATGCAATCGCAAAAACTTTTAGCAAATTAAACCTTTAAAAAATGAAAACTTCGGAACTCGTTCCAATTAATTTACGCTCGGAGCTTGTGTGCTTACGGTTGCTTGACGGGCAACGCAAACTCTTAGATCAGTCATAACATCCATAACAGTATCCAATATTCACCGTGAAATTACATAACTATGTCTGGCTTGGTTACAGTTGAAATGAGATAATTTTATTTTTTTAATAACCACCGCCGGCTTGCATTTACTTTGTCAAAACGTTTGCAACACAAAGAAGAAGGCTTGGGATAACTCTACAAAGTAAATACACTTTTGATCAGCATTAAATTCCAAATCGATGCAAGTATGAGCGTCTGTCTGTCTTCATTTTATATGCCGGAAATATACTCGTCGTAGCTATAATGTAGCTATCGATTTGAAATTCGCCAAAAGGATTTAAAGTTGGTTTACTCAAAATTGGCAAAATTGGCAAAATCGGCCACTGGACCCATTCACAGTACAATGCAAACGGAGAATACCTCTCAAAAGCAAAAAAAAAATATATATATATATATATTTCATTGCTCAATACCTATAAGCTACAAAATTATATAACAATACTTCAATATAAACATGTTGAGTATAGAAAATTCGGCCACAGACGAATAAAAATTTCTTATTTATTTTTTTCTTCCTCTTACTCCTTTTTAATTTAGATAAAACCTAACCATTGAATCGCTTTATATGGCAAAGCATTTCATCTAACTTAAAAACCGCAACATTAACTTTACCCTCAACAACTATTAATTTATACATTAAATCATCGTTAAGATATAAAGTAAAATGAAAATAAAAGAAGAAAAAAATTGAAAAAACATGCAATTCATCCTACAATCGATAAAAAAATTTGATGGAAATAATATACGATTTGCTAATTAAGGAAAGACAAAAAAATTTATTTACTATTTCTCCGTAAAAAGTAAGCGCGTTATTAGATAAACAAAAGAATCGAGCATTAATAATAATAATTGAAAGCGATCTGGTGACACGTTTATTTCAATTTATATACAAGTATTCTGCATTCTATTCTTGAAATTGCTTTCGTTTAATAATTGTAGTGAAAAATGTTTGCAAATGAATTTCACTTATTTCCAAACTTGAACTGCAGAGCCAGCAACGGGGGACAGCCGTAGTTAGGAGAGTCGACTAATAACGTAGAAGTTTTAGGAAATTTTTCACCCATTATTCTGAATGTTCTAAAACCTAAAACCTTTCCCCGGCCCCAATTCTTGCCGTTAATTCGAAAAACTAGAGTAAAAATAGTATTATTATTATTATTATTATTATTATTAATTTCTCCAGAGAAATAAATTCTAAGACTAAACTCTTAAAAGCACTAGCACCTAAGGCTATCGGCTTTTTTATTAAAAACTCTACCGCACTTGAGATTCGAACCCACGACCATTGACTTGCTAGTCGAGATTCCGCGCCTTCGGCTACTCAGGCGGATGTAAAAATAGTAAAAGTGTATAAAGTAAGTGAAAATGTTCTAAACATTGAAATCTATAGAAAGGATAGTTCTCTTATGTAGAATGATCAGAGACTGTAAATGCTAATAGCTCTGAGAACGTTACGAACGCTTAAAGAACGATGCACAAAGCTGATTGCTCGTATTTTCACCACGTTACTCGTCCTTGAGACTTTCTACCTATTGTGGGGTTTTCCCGACGTAACCCCTTTTCCTATCTTCAAATCAGACGTGAACAAACATTTCCCTCTCCTCTCTTTCCCACTTTCTCTTCTTAAAATCTTCATTATTTTCATCCTGTTGCAACGTATGGAAGAAGATGCCATGAGATATTGCCTAAATATCAAAAGAATTTACGTATTCCGCGACTTAAATGCGACTCGATTAAGATCCTTTATAATTTAAGACAAATCTCAACTTTGTTTATTATTAAAGAAACAAACATTTGAATACGCTACGAAAAAGGAACGAAAAGCGATAGCAATAAAATTCTTTGAAAATACCATCGACCATCAGTCTTTCACACAAAGCAATAGAAAGAATATGGAGGAAAAGTGCAGTGCAACTAAACATATTGTTTTATCTATTAAGGTTTAGGCAGAGAATATGTGCCATATGTGAGAATGCGAAGGTGGTCAGGTAAGCTTACAAGCAGCCACCTCTTTGGGCGTTCCTCGCCCAGTATATAAAAACTGAAGATAAAACGGAGCATTTATTGTAAACACTTCGCGGGAGAGAAATAAATTCTTTATGAAGTTGTCTTTTGTAATTGACTTCTACCCAGAAAATACATATTTCAATCAAAAAGTACTCCAACATTATTATAAAGCGTGGCCCACCATTAAATACTCTACAACACCCTACAGTTATATATATATATCGTTTTTTTAAACTAAGGCATTATATGGGAAATGGTAAAAAAAAGGGGTCGGATCCGAACCATTTTTAATTGTGTTGGTCCTTAGACCAAACTACGTCGATTTAGCAAATTTCATCAAAATATTTCAAAATTCAGACCTGCAGTTGGCAAACAAAAATTAAAAATAGGCTTAGTTCGATTTGATGAAAATGATTCAGGTAACGATTCGGAATCAATCGGTATAAAAAATGATGGTTCTATCTCAAGTTCTTCTGAATGTCACATAAGTCCGCACAAACTCAATACACTCTTGTGCTCCAAGTGGTGTAGGATATAAAATAAAAATAATGCGCGTACAGCCGCGCTCGGTGAATAGATGATATTACATAAGCTGAAAGGCTAGACTCTTTTTTTTCCGGGTACATTAGGTTGCTTTCAAAACAAAATTGACGCGTATCGGTTGAGAATCATCGATGATAAGTCAACAGATTCCTATGACATTTTGACATCTTTAGCAAATTTTTAATAAATTCACGCATAAACTTAATTTAGCGAATGCAGAAATCTAATATCTATTTTTTATGATAGAAAGCAAGCAAATTGACATTATCCAACCTTCAAGTTTATCAACATAAAAAATAATGAACAATTTTTTCGAAAACTTTTTCCAATTATTCTCGTTACTTTGATTGCATATGTATGACTATGGGATTTTTTTTGAATACTAAGCAGTACACAGCACTTTGCATAGTTTACATGGCTCAGTTTGGAGATACCATCAAGTAAAAGAATTTGGTTCGAAGAGTATCCAAATTTTCTTTTGTGATTCATATACACAAGCTCATGCATCGCATTTGCACACTTCGATATATTTCAACAACTTGGTGAGACTCGAGCATCGCCGTGTTAATTATTTAACATATTTCTTAGTACTGTTAGGCGGGTTTAAAGAGCTCTTTGTCGTTAAATTTGTTCCACGTTGTTTATAATGCACGTAATATGTTTGATGTAGATTTCGACTTCAAAAGTGATTTAAAGAATTTAAAAAAGAAAAGCATGCAATAAATTGGGTTTAGTCTTTTGGACGTAAAGCAGGGATCGTTTTCTCTCGTTTCATTTTTTCCTAACTACTTTCTACTACACATCATTAATTTATTCACTTACCTTTCCTTTAATATAACTTAATATTTAAAGAAAAATTCTCGACAGCTAAAAAAAATGGTATTTTTTTTTTTTATTAATTCTTTTGTTTATTTTGTTTATTTATTTGCTAAAAAAAAAAACGCTTTGAATAGTTAACTTTTATATTTTTTCTTAATTTCAAATTTTATAATCGAATTAATTATTTACAATACTTTTTAATTGAAATTTGTTGAAATACTTTTTAAAAAAATTCTATTTTTTTACACTTTTTATTATTATTATTGTGAATATTATATTTATTCACTTTTTTTTGTTTTTATAAGACGATAATGATTACAACTTCCGTTCTTCAGGTTTTTATTAATCAACGTTTTATGGCCTGCGTTTTTTGTTTTGATTGATTTTTGTGTTTTGTTTTTTTCTTTTTTTTTCTTTAAATCCGTTTAATAAAGCCGAAACGAAACTTCTGAGGGCTCTAGAGGCGCAGAAATGATACTGATGCCATAAGATACAATGAATTTTAAAGAAAGAATTGTTTGCATATAACTGCAAACAACCAGAATGACAGCGAGTATAGCAACAATAACAATAACACCAGCAATGCAAGCAAGTGTTGTGTCTGGTTAATGTGGTGAAAAAAGCATTCATTTTATATTATGTTTTATTATTAGTATTTAATATTTTCAATGGTTCTTTTATTGTGCTATATTTAATCAAAATATATATTTCTTCTTCTTATCATTAAAACATGTTGCGTCAAACCCGGTCGATAATGACGTTATGCGTTTGATCGACGATCATTTTGCATGACTTTCACATTTTAATGACATCGAACATCCTAACGTATGAGTAACATTAAATTATTATAAAGGTAATGGGCATGAATTTTCTGCCATTTGAATAATTTTTCATTTAAGAAATTGTAACTGCAAGCGTTTTACTTGTAACAGACGGGAAAGTTCAGCAGCAAAATGTAGTTCTGTTCGTTTTTAGGATAAAACAAAATCATAATTTCTGAATACCGTTGAATTAAGCCTTTCCGCAAAATCCGACGTTGTCCGACAATGATTTAGCTCTAACATGATCTTGGCACTTTTGTAGTCGAGTAAAGAAACTCCATGTCAATGTCGCTTACAAGTACTTGCTCTTATCGTGACAACTTTTATGGAAATTTAGACTTAAATGCTTAAAAATACTTGCAGGTTAATTAAAAAAAAAAAATTCAAAAACCCCCAAGGTTTCTTCATCAAAAATGGTAAGTCTTCTCGGCGAACATCTCTTACATCTTTATAGTATAAGTCTGACACGATGAGTACATAAAATTCATCTAAAAATATTTTTTATTGAAACTTGTTCAGTTGTCGTTAGACGATGTAGGCAATAAATTACGATCAAATTAATCTATTAGTTGTAATCAAATTTAGTTTTGTCTCTAAACATTCCTTAAGGTCGCTAACGGGGAAGTTAATGGTTTGTTTTTGAATTTAGATTTGTTTCATTTTTTTTTTTTTTTTTTTTTTTTTTTATATATTAAATACTTTCCTTCCGTCAAATTTATTATAAATAAATCACATACTTAGGTATGTAATTGATGTTTATTATCGCATATAATACACCTTGAGCTTAAGAGAAGTCATGTAACGTTGGCTAGAAACATATACCACATCTCAAAAGAGAACAGAGAATAGAACACAATTTTCATTTTCTTTGAGATAAATAAATTTAAGATAGGGAAGTTTAAAAAAGTGAAAGAAAAAGCTGTCATAGTATTACGAGTTTGTTGGAAATGATTTACGATGCGCTAAAAGGAATGCAAAGTCCATTTTGGTTGCTTTCAATCTCCTCTCTCCCTGTTTTATTCTTATCAAAATTTGAAGCGATACCTCACTACGCAGACTCTTACAACAGAAGTCGTTCGTATAAATATAAAAGCAAGCGACTTCTGCCTGATCTATTATATAGCAGCGACATTGACGATAATACAAACTATTTAGCTTTCATATTCTTAGAAGCAATCGGGCCCTAGTCTGCTAATTGAAAGACTAGTAGTCTTAGATGATTTATTTACCAATTCATTGAAGCTTTCGGGACTTAATCCGATTCCTGGATCTTGTTATGTTCACGAAAATTACATGTCGATCATATTTAATTTTTCACAAGCTGGTTGCAGAGATTCCCCAAACCAATATACACTATATCACGAAGACAAGACTTGACTCGATTAGAAGAAACTTTTGTAAATTTTCGATTGCTTATTTTCTCTACCTGTAAAGTAAAATATATAATTGTGTTCATTTTAGAGAGAAAAGAAAAATGCATATTGTATTCAAGACTCACAATCGCATTGCAAGAGTAACATGCTACGTGAGTGTAGGCAACTTGATATGCAGCCGTAATAAAAAATATATTTCGCAGCAAAATTCACATGCGGTGAAAGTATATCTAAATGGTTAAACGGCGGAAATGAAAGTTAAGAGCTAACGTAGACTGCAAGAGTCTTGCACTGCGAAATCAATTGTTAGACTAAAAGAAAAAAAATTAGGCAGTAGCAGAATGTTAGATATTGAGCACGGTAGTTTGAAGAAAGAAACATATGAAATTGATATTACGTTTCGTAGCTGATTTCAGCATGTCCATAGGATTAATTGTTCCGCATGTGTTTCTTCTAGCAAAAAAAAAAAAAGATGCTTTACTGTATGACTTTCTTGACAATTGGGAATTAGGGAAGAAAATTTCTTAAGGATGCATTGGCATTTTGCAATTGCAAGGCCAAGGCGTATTCTCCTAATTGTTTTTATCTTGATTTTCTTAACATTTGTGGGACGTAATGAAGGAACTAGGTGAGGATTAATGGAGGAGTAGCGCTGATGATAGTAAATTTGATCGCTTCTCTTGTCTTCACTTCAACTTTCCTTCCAATGTATCTTTGAAGTTGCAACTTTTCCATAGTAACATCCTTTATTATAGGTGCAGAAGCAGCAGACTTAGCAGTTTGATAAACTTGCTCATTTGGCAACAAACCGATATGACAACGTACTCAAATCGTTTTTAATTAATCACCGCATGTTGTGATGGTATCGTTTCATTTTGTTAATGACTCTGCAGATCGAAGTGAAGGGATTCCGAATAGCTTTTAACAGAGATAGAATATCAGACTAATTTGAAGTATGGCTCCGGCTTCAGTTGTCAAAATTCAAACGCTTTCGTGAAGTATGCGATTAAGCAGAACTTGTCTTGAAACGTCTACCATGGCGTAGGCAGGTGGCAGAACGTCTTATTTTTAGTAATTGTAGCTGAATCCATAAAATGTCTTAGTTGGGCCTGCTTGTTGCTATCCGTCGAGGAGTACATAAGCATCGTAAAGTGATTTTTAATGAAACATATTAGTGAAATATGTCCTAACTAAGGTAATATGAAAATATCACCATAATATATGAAAAAAGGATAGGTGAAATTAAAACAAATGTTCTGCAAGATTAGCTCAAAGAAAAATTGCTCTCATAACTGTTAATTCACCCAAGGGCGAAGTTCGTCTAATAGGTTAATTGAAAGTCGCTATCTATGCTATTGTAAAGTAAAGACTAACTTTTTTTAATTTACTATAAAATTAATTTAGTAAAAAATGCAACTTTTTCCAACTACCCACATAGATGCTTATGCATGCATTCAAATAAATTAAATTCTTTCTTTCTTTCTTTTTTTTTATTTCTATTTTTATTTTTATATTTTATTTTTGCAATCATTTCATATACAAACGCGCGCACAAATAATAAAAAATCAACACCTGGTTAGTGACCACAATGAGAGACAAGTTTTAAGTCGTGATCACAACAGCAACAACTATGTATATCAGACCGCACCAACAATCAATGAAATCTCATGTTATTTGCCATTTGTTATGATCGCTCTGCTCCCTACTCATCGTGTATATTGTATTTGTAACACTTGCTTGAAGGTTTCTTTTTCAATTTCATTGACTAAGACGTCACATGCAAATTATTTCACATATTTGTTGGCCTTATAGCCGCGAACAATAGCTTTATGATATATGATCGCGCCTGTACGCCTGTACTTATTGAATTATTTCTGCAGAATTCAAATAATTGCTCATTAATTTAATTTAAATTGTTACGGTCTGTTGTTGTTTTTTTTTTTGTTTTCATATTTTTTTTTTTCTAAAATTTTTTTATGTTAATTCATTTGAACTGAATGTAGTTGAAAAAATAAAACAAGAGATAATAGACAAGCATTGGTATAGGTTGAGTTAAGCCTGGAAGTGTTACGTTATACGGATCTTGCCAAAATTTAACTTTGCGAGCAAAATGATGACAAAGCATTCAACAGACAGGCATTGAACATAACGGTAAGAGAGTAATTAAGGCAGGACTAACGATACGATTTGAAATACAAAGCCCTTTTGTAATAAGCTTTATATGCTAGACAGTACGACAACTTCAAAATTGTTACTGTCCCGTTAATTAAATTTAGATTTAAAAGCAAATTAAATTTTATTGTGAAATATTAAAGTGTTCACGGACCGGGCTAGATCGCTCCTTTAACAATGCGTAAGGAGTAAAGAGAATTTAATTGGTACATTTTATTGCGTCTGCCAATCAAGCCAGTCTACACCTTGGACAATCGTCAGTAATTAAGAGAATTGATTTTCGAAGTTATAAGAGATTTATGGACCGACGCAGACCACACCTCGAACGAAGTGTAAGTAATGAAGCGCACTAAGTTGCTAAATTTTAGAGCGTCAGTAAGTCAGACCACACCGTAGCTTTAACGATCGTTAGCAATTACGACAAGCTGGTTTGCAAAATTTAAAAGATGAGACAACAGTTTTAACGAATCGCAATTAAGCGATTAAGAGAACTTACTTTGGAAATCGTAACCCAACCAGACCACACCTTAAACAATGCACAAATATGGAGAAAACTCGGTTGCTAAGTTTTAGAGCGTCAGCAAATCAGACAACACGGTAACTTTAACGAACGTTAGCAATGACGAGAAGCAGGCAAGTTTTAAGGCATCCACGAACCAGCCCAGATCGCATTTTCAATGAATCGATGCCCATTAAGAAGATTTATTTCCACAATCTTA